TCAGCTGAACGGAGCGAGCGAGGAGGAACATGTGGCTTCAGCAAGTCAGATAAGTAGACAGGAGCCAGACCATTTAAAGATTTAAAAACCAATAAAAGGACTTTAAAACGAACCCTAAATTCAATGGGAAGCCAATGCAAGGAAGCGAGAACCGGAGTGATGTGATCGAATTTCCTACTACCGGTTAAAAATCGTGCCGCCGCATTTTGCACTAACTGCAGGCGTGACAAGGTGCCCGACCTGACCCCTATTAAAAGGGAATTACAATAGTCCAGACATGAGGTGATAAAAGCATGAATAAGAGTTTCCAAATTGGGTTTGGAAAGGAAAGGCTTAACCTTCGACAGGCGTCTGAAGTGATAAAAAGATGATTTTACCACCCCATTTACATGACCTTCAAAAGTAAGCACAGAATCAAGTTTAACACCAAGATTAGTGATTGAACTTTTCAGATGAGAGGTCAAATCACCAAAATCAACATCTGGAGAATCTGGAGCGATGTGGGCCATATAAAATTGCTTCCGTTTTGCGACCATTAAAATTCAAAAAATTATTTGCCATCCATAATTTTATATCGCTGAGACAGTCAAGCAGTGATTGACATGGGGAGGTATCCAAATGACTAAAAGGTAAATAAAGCTGACAGTCATCGGCATACAAATGAAATGACACTCCGTGTTTACGAAAAATCGCACCAAGGGGGAGTAAATACAGCGAGAAAAATAATGGCCCAAGGATAGATCCCTGGGGCACACCCAAAAGCAGAGGGGCCACAGAGGAAGTGGCCAGCCCCAGCTTGACACAAAAACTCCTTTTGGAAAGCTATGATTTTATCCATGATAATGCCAAATCAGAAATTCCCACACAGTGGTGTAAGCGGGAGATCAGCAGGTCATGGTCCACTGTGTCAAATGCAGCTGTCATGTCCAATAACACAAGCACAGCATATTTACCACGATCAGTAGCAACAAGAATGTCATTCATAACTTTAACAAGAGCTGTCTCCGTACTGTGAAAGGGCTTAAAACTGTTTCAGTAAAATATTTTTAGTATCTCACATACTGCATATTTGTTTGTTACTTTATAAATTAAAACAGTGGTACCTCAGTTATTTGACTCCTTACATTACGTAAAACGTAAAACCTTTGCTCCAAATTGAGCTATTAGAAGATAAGTCTGTGGGTTGAAGAGATAGTAATCATTGACAGGTTATTATGACAATGAAAATGTCATAATAACCTGTCATAAAAATGTCAAAGGATGTTCTACCCACTTACACAGTGTACCTGCACCGTTCCAAAGCAAACAAAGCCAACGCTCAAAAACAGCTTGTAATCTTTTGAAATCATTCTCCTTTTCAACCTTTAAATCACTGCTATTCTTGTACCATCTCAGGTTTAAATACATCTTAATTTTAAAAACTCAAACACAATTTAATCCAAAGAAAATTAAAGTGAAAGATTTCCTGAAGAACTGACTTTGTTCTGTTTTTTCCCCCTTTTTTTTCTTTCTTTACTTTTGATAAGATTTAAATGACTTGCTTCAAATTAGCTTCTAACATGCTAAGTGGACCACTTGCAAAGAGGACAGTGTAGTTCCACATCTATTGCTATAATAAAAACTGCAAAAAGTTATTTGTTTGTCTAGCATAAACTTTTTTCTTCCTCCACCTGTTATCGTGCTGTTTGTACTTGAGTGATAGTGGGGTAAATATAATCAACAGACACTTGATTTTAATTGAAAATGCCAAATGAGATTTTAGCTCATGGGGGAACTATAAGATCGATGGCTCAGTGAAAAAGAATCACAACTCGCCATAATTTCTGTTGTGAGCTCTGGTAGATTTTCTTGTGTACAGGCTGTGATCAGCTGACCCAAATGCAGCTGTCATGTCCAATAACACAAGCACAGCATATTTACCACGATCAGTAGCAACAAGAATGTCATTCATAACTTTAACAAGAGCTGTCTCCGTACTGTGAAAGGGCTTAAAACCAGATTGGAAGACAGTTGCGAGTCATTCAAATAATCCAACAGCTGGGTATGTACAATCCTCTCCAAGATCTTGCTTAAAAAGGGAAGCTTGGAGATAGGTCTAAAATTTGACATAATAGAACTATCAAGGCCAGGTTTCTTAAGTAACGGGTGTATGACTGCATGTTTAAACCCACTAGGAACTTGACCGGTTAACAGACTAGTATTGATAATTTTCAGGATATAAGGTCCAATGATGGGAAATACTTTTTGGAGAAAGCAGGGAGTAACAACATTGTTCGGGGAGCCACAAGGCTTAGCATGTAGCACCAACTCCTCTAAATCACGCAGAGAAATCGGTGCAAAAGCAGAGAATAGGCTTGAGCAAGGAGCATGCATGGCCGGATCAACAATAGGTGGGATCAGAGGCCTCAGGCTAGCAATCTTGTCCACAAAACAGGTAATAAACTTATTGCACATAGCCTCAGAGGACGGCAACAGGTCATAACCCTCCAAGTTAAGTACAGAATTTCTAGTATTGTATAAAACACGAGGGTTATGAGAGTTGGCCAAAATAAGTTGAGAAAAGTAGGAGTGTTTATCGGCCTTAACTGCCCTCTGATAAGTTTTCCAACTAATCTTTAGGGCTTCCAGGGAGACATGCAATCTATCTTTTTTCCACTGTCTTTCACATTTCCTACATTGTCTTCTAATAGCTCGGGTACGATCTGTTAACCATGAACTAGTCTTAGATTTACATTTTCTTAGTCTCAAAGGGGCAACAACATCAAGCACAGATTTACAAGCAAAGTCAAAATACAAAAGTAGGTCATCTGCAGTGGGCAAGTCAGGGGCATAAGACATTAATGTTTCAAACAGTATAGAAAACCGCTCAGCAGAATCAGAGCCAAAGGCACGATAACATGGAGCCTGATTTGCAAAAGCATTAGCAGGAGCAATATCAAATAAGATAGGCATATGATCAGAGAAAACTGCATCTTCAACACGTACATTGCAAACAGATAAACCATGAGATAAAACTAAGTCCAGTGTGTGACCACCAGAGATGGGTAGTAACGCGTTACGTGTTACTGTAATCTGATTACTTTTTTCAAGTAACGAGTAAAGTAAGGGATTACTATTGCAAAAAAGGTAATTAGATTACCGTTACTTTCCCGTAGGAACACTGCGTTACTAAAACCGTGATTTTTTTGCGAGAATGTCTCATGACAATGATGCAAGCGAGTGCGACGTTCGTGACAACAGCTGTATGCAGATCAACAATGGATCATATATCGAGTGCAGGAGAGAGTATGAGCGTGCAGCGTTTAAAGCGTGGAAGTACTGACTACTTCCATAAAAAGTGACAAAAACATTAGCGTCCATTGTGCGTGGGAAGAAAACTTCTTTTTACAGCGAAAAAAAAAACCCTAAACAAGCACCGAGTGCGCAACGACGTAATGGGAAATTCACATAGAAACTCGCGGATTCTTCCACTGACCGCTGCAGCACACCTGCACCAGGGCAAACCTCCGCCTACCCCACTCCTGCTTTACAAGTGAAAATAGAGCAACAGGACCGCTGAGTCTTTGATTTTATTTATTTTCTGCTGTGTTTTACTTGCATCTATTTGAAAGAGTGAGTGTAAACACAAAAAATATTTTATTTTATGTGCTGGAATGTGCAGAAAATAGGTTTAAATGTTAAACTAATTTCTTCCAGTCAGTGAATGCTGCATATAATTTAATTGTTGCTTGATGCATAAAGTTAAAAGATTAAAACTGTTAAAACAAGTTTTAAAAAAAGAGACTTTTCCATTGATTACATTTTGTATGATGGATTATGCAGAAAAAGTAAAATTTGGTCTGAAAGATCTATCGCTTTATCACCTATTCAGATTGTAAATCGTGTTTTTTAAAAAGTAACTAAGTAATTAATTAATTAATTACTTTTGAAAACAAGTAATCAGTAAAGTAACAGGATTACTTTTTGGGGAAGTAATCAGTAATTAGTTACTGATTACTTTTTTCAAGTAACTTGACCAACACTGGTGACCACGTTCTTGAGTGGCACCACTAACAGATGGGACAAAATTAAAAGAGTTCACTAAGGCAAGGAAGTCCTTGGCCAGAGGCTTCCCCAGACAGCAAAAGTGTATGTTAAAATCACCAAGCAGGAGGATCTGGTCATACCGTGAGGCACAGTCAGCAAGAAACTCTGAGAACTCGGATAAGAAGACCTTGTTATATTTCGGGGGGCGATAAACAATCGCACATAACAACGAATGCGAGTGGCCCAGTTTACATAAACAGAGTTCAAAACTGGTGTAGTGAGACGAAGGGAAAAGCTGCTTCAAGTCCAAGTGAGCCTTAAAAACAGCAGCAAGCCAGCAGCTCTCGGAACATTAAAAAAGGTACAGTCAGCAGCTACTAGTTCAATGAAACCGCTCAACTCACCGGGAGAAATCCAGGTTTCAGTCAGGAAGAGCAAATCCAGAACACGAGAAAGAAAAAAATCCTTCAATATGAAGGTCTTATTTGCCACCGACCTGGTATTTATTACACCCAGCCTGAGAGGAACTGGGTCCAAAACTTCCAACGCATTAGCAAGCAGATCCACCGGTCGAAGGTTTTTCTTGTCAACTCCGTGCCAGTGTAAATGTCGTAGAGGAAAGAGATTTGCAGGACCATTTTTGAAAGACCCAACAACAGGAATCAACCAGGAATCCACCGGGTCCAATGGCACCAAGAGTCGCAGACAAAAACGGCGATCAATCAATGTTTAAAGAAATCTATATCTCTAAATGTTTTGTCTTTTCTGTCATGTGATTCATCTCGCAGCTCTACATGTTTGAAAGACTTGACCTGAAGGTTTCAGTGTGAGACAACAGTGGTGACTTTGTGGTGCTGTGCTAGTATGTTAGCACAGGCACCATTTTGTGTGTGTGTGTGCGTGTGTGTGTGTGTGTGTGTAAACTCAATTAAATGAGAACGCCAAATAACTGGATGCATTATGCCAATATACAGTTTATGGGTCATCCTGGTTTGACCATGTCAGGGAGTGGTATTTAAACAGAGACCAGTACAACATCCTCTTCCTGACCTACGAGGAAATGATTTTGGTAAGATGTTTCTTCAAACTTTTGTTGTTCATTAAAAAACTCAAACAAAATATCTGGCTGAGTTTAAGGTTCTTTTTCTCTTGCCTTCCTGCTTTTCTTTCAGGACCTGAAAGGATCAGTGAAGAAGATCTGCAACTTCTTAGGGAAAAACTTGACTGAAGCCACCATCAGTCAAGTTGTGGAAAAAGCTAAGTTTGAGAACATGAAGAAGGACTCGAAAGCAAACTATGAGCACATTCCACCAGAGAAGTTCAGTGGGAAATTCTTGCGCAAAGGTAACATAACAGACCTGCAGCTGCTGTGCAGAAAAATGTGATATCAGTGTATCAGGTGTTGTGTTTTTGTCTTCATTACAGGTCAGATTGGAGACTGGAAGAACACACTGACTGTTGCACAGAGTGAAAGAGTGGATCAAGTCCTTCAGGAGAAACTTGGTGATTTGCCTTTAAAGTTCATCTGGGAATAAGCAGAGCAGCTCTTCAGGGTCTCCCAGGAGTTTTAAAAGCATTGATTTCATTCATTGGAAAGCCTTAAAATGTGTTTTTCTGCTATTTTAATTTTCAAAAAAACAACAAATGATTAATGTTTGTTTACCCAAGATTGATTCATGTTACGTAGATCATGATTCCAGGAATCAACAGTAAAATGTAAATCAGTCAACATATCTGACATGTCTGAAACCAGTACACGGCACTTTGGATTCTCATAATTTCTGAATAGTCATTAACTATTGATTTTTTTTAATCACATCACTTTTGACAGTATGCCCTGACCTTCAAATAGAAGAAAATTCTTGAAATAAATGTACTTTTGCCATGAAGAAAGTCTGACCTTAACCTACAAGTGATTTCTCTTCCCATGAGTCAGCAGCCAAGACAGAAGTATCTTATTCATTTGTGTTGAAGAATTAAAAGGAAAGGATCCTACTTTGGTAACAAACAAAACATTACAAAAAGAAATGGTGCAATTGCAGTGTTATTTTGGTTAAAGTGTGGTTCAGCATGACATTCTTCCTTTATTTAATCCTATACAGAATCAAACCTCAGACCTGTAAATGGCATCCACTGAATATCATTTAATTAATAAGTGAAATACAGCTTGTTAACACATGTTAGTGTAAGCTAATAGTCTATTAAAAATAACAATCTTATTTCTTTAATGGGACTTCTTTTTCTGAACATTACTGAAGATTTTCTCAACATCAGGGCTGCAAAATGTAAATTTGATTTTCACACAACAACGCTCTGATCCGTGATCCAAGAGTAACATTTGGATTTATCTGTGAGAAACTCTTCTTATTCAAGTAAACTGATCCAAAGATGGACTAAACTCCACATTATTCATCTTTATATAGCTGTCTGGAATAAAATTTCATGTTTCAAACACAGGTATGTCAGGTTTTGAGAGTCTTTTAATGTCACTCCATTTGTGGTTTTAAATGAGAACAGCCTTCTATCGTCAAGCCAATCTTCCAGCAGCAGCATTATAATGCAGTAGTCGGGGCACAGCATAGGTCAAACGAACACATTTTCTAGTAAAAGTAAAACATAAATGCTTAACACTTTAGTTTAACATTAACTATAGTACCTCTAAAAGAATGTACATTCACATTCATTCATTCACATGGGGTGAAGAACAATACAAACTGTGTCTCTTCCCCTTATCTGTTTGTGTGATTCACAACTAAGATCGAGTTGATCAGTGATCGTCTGTGCAGGTATAATAACTTCAACTTCCTGGCCAGTCACACAACTCCCGAGCACATAGACTCTTTCAGAATTTTGAAATAAAAGATGTGTTCCTCGTGTCTTATCCAAAGTCAGGTCAGTGAGAAATCTGACCTGACTTAAATTAAATCTGAATAGCCGTCGTTTCTGGCCAGTACTCTCTTCAGAGTTTTGAAATAAGAAACAGCAATGTCTTGCATCTTTTACAAAGTCAAGTCAGTGAGAAATCTCTGCAGCATCCCATTATTTTGCAGTTTTATTCTGTCCAGACTGATCTGCTGGTTACATATAATATCCCAAAAATCTTCCCTCAAAAGGCACCATATGAGCTCAGCAGATCATCACTTCTATCTATGAGTTGGACGGGCATCTGAATCAATATTCTATAAACTCGCATGAAGATGCCATGGCTGGAGTTCACAGGGGTGCATACACTCATCCACAGCTCTTCAGATCACATCTGTCTCAGGCTCTAATGTTTCCAGGACTGATGGACAAGAAGGGAAAGGTCAGAGCTGTATAGACGCTCAAGCCAGCCTGAAGAAAGAGCTGGTTTTGAGATATAGTATGACAAAGTTCTTTAAGTGGTTAAAAAATTATTTGCTCATAATTTTTGTGTTTAATTGTATGAAATAAAAGATAACTTTGTTGCCGAAAAGCAGAGTTCTATTGAAGTTTTATTGTTAAGGAAAGGCATTCAAGGATTAGAAGCTTTGTATTTGTAACAAGTTCATATGAAAATTCAGATTTTCTTCTTAGTCAGTTACATAGCACTATCATCATATATCAATCAAATTGTTGATAACTTAGCACACAGCTTTTTGAAACATGAACACTCCTGAATGCAAACAATACACATAGTGGCAGCTTAAAGCTTCAAATGGGTCACTTTATGGTGACAACATCTAGCTTTTATATACAGCCAATGAAAACAAATTGTTTATACATTTATATAAAACAACTCTCAAAACTATCACTTCAGCAAAACACTGCAGACCTTGAGACTCCTCAGAGCTTCGATCAGTTTTTTGAGTGATACCTGACGGGAAACAGTACGTGTCCTCATCTCCACTATCTGCCTAATGATGATGACGAAGAAGAGTCCAGGTCTGATAAATGATAACAGATATCAATGTGATCAGTAAGAACTTAAATTGATTATTTCAAACTGAACTGTGTTTGACATACTTACCCAGTTATTATCCAGTGGATAATAGCACATCCATATGAAAGAATTCAAGTTGCTTTATACTTTTCCCACATTCTGTTTCAGTAAAATATTTTTAGTATCTCACATACTGCATATTTGTTTGTTACTTTATAAATTAAAACAGTGGTACCTCAGTTATTTGACTCCTTACATTACGTAAAACGTAAAACCTTTGCTCCAAATTGAGCTATTAGAAGATAAGTCTGTGGGTTGAAGAGATAGTAATCATTGACAGGTTATTATGACAATGAAAATGTCATAATAACCTGTCATAAAAATGTCAAAGGATGTTCTACCCACTTACGCAGTGTACCTGCACCGTTCCAAAGCAAACAAAGCCAACGCTCAAAAACAGCTTGTAATCTTTTGAAATCATTCTCCTTTTCAACCTTTAAATCACTGCTATTCTTGTACCATCTCAGGTTTAAATACATCTTAATTTTAAAAACTCAAACACAATTTAATCCAAAGAAAATTAAAGTGAAAGATTTCCTGAAGAACTGACTTTGTTCTGTTTTTTCCCCCTTTTTTTTCTTTCTTTACTTTTGATAAGATTTAAATGACTTGCTTCAAATTAGCTTCTAACATGCTAAGTGGACCACTTGCAAAGAGGACAGTGTAGTTCCACATCTATTGCTATAATAAAAACTGCAAAAAGTTATTTGTTTGTCTAGCATAAACTTTTTTCTTCCTCCACCTGTTATCGTGCTGTTTGTACTTGAGTGATAGTGGGGTAAATATAATCAACAGACACTTGATTTTAATTGAAAATGCCAAATGAGATTTTAGCTCATGGGGGAACTATAAGATCGATGGCTCAGTGAAAAAGAATCACAACTCGCCATAATTTCTGTTGTGAGCTCTGGTAGATTTTCTTGTGTACAGGCTGTGATCAGCTGACCCAAATGCAGCTGTCATGTCCAATAACACAAGCACAGCATATTTACCACGATCAGTAGCAACAAGAATGTCATTCATAACTTTAACAAGAGCTGTCTCCGTACTGTGAAAGGGCTTAAAACCAGATTGGAAGACAGTTGCGAGTCATTCAAATAATCCAACAGCTGGGTATGTACAATCCTCTCCAAGATCTTGCTTAAAAAGGGAAGCTTGGAGATAGGTCTAAAATTTGACATAATAGAACTATCAAGGCCAGGTTTCTTAAGTAACGGGTGTATGACTGCATGTTTAAACCCACTAGGAACTTGACCGGTTAACAGACTAGTATTGATAATTTTCAGGATATAAGGTCCAATGATGGGAAATACTTTTTGGAGAAAGCAGGGAGTAACAACATTGTTCGGGGAGCCACAAGGCTTAGCATGTAGCACCAACTCCTCTAAATCACGCAGAGAAATCGGTGCAAAAGCAGAGAATAGGCTTGAGCAAGGAGCATGCATGGCCGGATCAACAATAGGTGGGATCAGAGGCCTCAGGCTAGCAATCTTGTCCACAAAACAGGTAATAAACTTATTGCACATAGCCTCAGAGGACGGCAACAGGTCATAACCCTCCAAGTTAAGTACAGAATTTCTAGTATTGTATAAAACACGAGGGTTATGAGAGTTGGCCAAAATAAGTTGAGAAAAGTAGGAGTGTTTATCGGCCTTAACTGCCCTCTGATAAGTTTTCCAACTAATCTTTAGGGCTTCCAGGGAGACATGCAATCTATCTTTTTTCCACTGTCTTTCACATTTCCTACATTGTCTTCTAATAGCTCGGGTACGATCTGTTAACCATGAACTAGTCTTAGATTTACATTTTCTTAGTCTCAAAGGGGCAACAACATCAAGCACAGATTTACAAGCAAAGTCAAAATACAAAAGTAGGTCATCTGCAGTGGGCAAGTCAGGGGCATAAGACATTAATGTTTCAAACAGTATAGAAAACCGCTCAGCAGAATCAGAGCCAAAGGCACGATAACATGGAGCCTGATTTGCAAAAGCATTAGCAGGAGCAATATCAAATAAGATAGGCATATGATCAGAGAAAACTGCATCTTCAACACGTACATTGCAAACAGATAAACCATGAGATAAAACTAAGTCCAGTGTGTGACCACCAGAGATGGGTAGTAACGCGTTACGTGTTACTGTAATCTGATTACTTTTTTCAAGTAACGAGTAAAGTAAGGGATTACTATTGCAAAAAAGGTAATTAGATTACCGTTACTTTCCCGTAGGAACACTGCGTTACTAAAACCGTGATTTTTTTGCGAGAATGTCTCATGACAATGATGCAAGCGAGTGCGACGTTCGTGACAACAGCTGTATGCAGATCAACAATGGATCATATATCGAGTGCAGGAGAGAGTATGAGCGTGCAGCGTTTAAAGCGTGGAAGTACTGACTACTTCCATAAAAAGTGACAAAAACATTAGCGTCCATTGTGCGTGGGAAGAAAACTTCTTTTTACAGCGAAAAAAAAAACCCTAAACAAGCACCGAGTGCGCAACGACGTAATGGGAAATTCACATAGAAACTCGCGGATTCTTCCACCACTGCGGCACACCTGCACCAGGGCAAACCTCCGCCTACCCCACTCCTGCTTTACAGGTGAAAATAGAGCAACAGGACCGCTGAGTCTTTGATTTTATTTATTTTCTGCTGTGTTTTACTTGCATCTATTTGAAAGACTGAGTGTAAACACAAAAAATATTTTATTTTATGTGCTGGAATGTGCAGAAAATAGGTTTAAATGTTAAACTAATTTCTTCCAGTCAGTGAATGCTGCATATAATTTAATTGTTGCTTGATGCATAAAGTTAAAAGATTAAAACTGTTAAAACAAGTTTTAAAAAAGAGACTTTTCCATTGATTACATTTTGTATGATGGATTATGCAGAAAAAGTAAAATTTGGTCTGAAAGATCTATCGCTTTATCACCTATTCAGATTGTAAATCGTGTTTTTTAAAAAGTAACTAAGTAACTAAGTAATTAATTACTTTTGAAAACAAGTAATCAGTAAAGTAACAGGATTACTTTTTGGGGAAGTAATCAGTAATTAGTTACTGATTACTTTTTTCAAGTAACTTGACCAACACTGGTGACCACGTTCTTGAGTGGCACCACTAACAGATGGGACAAAATTAAAAGAGTTCACTAAGGCAAGGAAGTCCTTGGCCAGAGGCTTCCCCAGACAGCAAAAGTGTATGTTAAAATCACCAAGCAGGAGGATCTGGTCATACCGTGAGGCACAGTCAGCAAGAAACTCTGAGAACTCGGATAAGAAGACCTTGTTATATTTCGGGGGGCGATAAACAATCGCACATAACAACGAATGCGAGTGGCCCAGTTTACATAAACAGAGTTCAAAACTGGTGTAGTGAGACGAAGGGAAAAGCTGCTTCAAGTCCAAGTGAGCCTTAAAAACAGCAGCAAGCCAGCAGCTCTCGGAACATTAAAAAAGGTACAGTCAGCAGCTACTAGTTCAATGAAACCGCTCAACTCACCGGGAGAAATCCAGGTTTCAGTCAGGAAGAGCAAATCCAGAACACGAGAAAGAAAAAAATCCTTCAATATGAAGGTCTTATTTGCCACCGACCTGGTATTTATTACACCCAGCCTGAGAGGAACTGGGTCCAAAACTTCCAACGCATTAGCAAGCAGATCCACCGGTCGAAGGTTTTTCTTGTCAACTCCGTGCCAGTGTAAATGTCGTAGAGGAAAGAGATTTGCAGGACCATTTTTGAAAGACCCAACAACAGGAATCAACCAGGAATCCACCGGGTCCAATGGCACCAAGAGTCGCAGACAAAAACGGCGATCAATCAATGTTTAAAGAAATCTATATCTCTAAATGTTTTGTCTTTTCTGTCATGTGATTCATCTCGCAGCTCTACATGTTTGAAAGACTTGACCTGAAGGTTTCAGTGTGAGACAACAGTGGTGACTTTGTGGTGCTGTGCTAGTATGTTAGCACAGGCACCATTTTGTGTGTGTGTGTGCGTGTGTGTGTGTGTGTGTGTAAACTCAATTAAATGAGAACGCCAAATAACTGGATGCATTATGCCAATATACAGTTTATGGGTCATCCTGGTTTGACCATGTCAGGGAGTGGTATTTAAACAGAGACCAGTACAACATCCTCTTCCTGACCTACGAGGAAATGATTTTGGTAAGATGTTTCTTCAAACTTTTGTTGTTCATTAAAAAACTCAAACAAAATATCTGGCTGAGTTTAAGGTTCTTTTTCTCTTGCCTTCCTGCTTTTCTTTCAGGACCTGAAAGGATCAGTGAAGAAGATCTGCAACTTCTTAGGGAAAAACTTGACTGAAGCCACCATCAGTCAAGTTGTGGAAAAAGCTAAGTTTGAGAACATGAAGAAGGACTCGAAAGCAAACTATGAGCACATTCCACCAGAGAAGTTCAGTGGGAAATTCTTGCGCAAAGGTAACATAACAGACCTGCAGCTGCTGTGCAGAAAAATGTGATATCAGTGTATCAGGTGTTGTGTTTTTGTCTTCATTACAGGTCAGATTGGAGACTGGAAGAACACACTGACTGTTGCACAGAGTGAAAGAGTGGATCAAGTCCTTCAGGAGAAACTTGGTGATTTGCCTTTAAAGTTCATCTGGGAATAAGCAGAGCAGCTCTTCAGGGTCTCCCAGGAGTTTTAAAAGCATTGATTTCATTCATTGGAAAGCCTTAAAATGTGTTTTTCTGCTATTTTAATTTTCAAAAAAACAACAAATGATTAATGTTTGTTTACCCAAGATTGATTCATGTTACGTAGATCATGATTCCAGGAATCAACAGTAAAATGTAAATCAGTCAACATATCTGACATGTCTGAAACCAGTACACGGCACTTTGGATTCTCATAATTTCTGAATAGTCATTAACTATTGATTTTTTTTAATCACATCACTTTTGACAGTATGCCCTGACCTTCAAATAGAAGAAAATTCTTGAAATAAATGTACTTTTGCCATGAAGAAAGTCTGACCTTAACCTACAAGTGATTTCTCTTCCCATGAGTCAGCAGCCAAGACAGAAGTATCTTATTCATTTGTGTTGAAGAATTAAAAGGAAAGGATCCTACTTTGGTAACAAACAAAACATTACAAAAAGAAATGGTGCAATTGCAGTGTTATTTTGGTTAAAGTGTGGTTCAGCATGACATTCTTCCTTTATTTAATCCTATACAGAATCAAACCTCAGACCTGTAAATGGCATCCACTGAATATCATTTAATTAATAAGTGAAATACAGCTTGTTAACACATGTTAGTGTAAGCTAATAGTCTATTAAAAATAACAATCTTATTTCTTTAATGGGACTTCTTTTTCTGAACATTACTGAAGATTTTCTCAACATCAGGGCTGCAAAATGTAAATTTGATTTTCACACAACAACGCTCTGATCCGTGATCCAAGAGTAACATTTGGATTTATCTGTGAGAAACTCTTCTTATTCAAGTAAACTGATCCAAAGATGGACTAAACTCCACATTATTCATCTTTATATAGCTGTCTGGAATAAAATTTCATGTTTCAAACACAGGTATGTCAGGTTTTGAGAGTCTTTTAATGTCACTCCATTTGTGGTTTTAAATGAGAACAGCCTTCTATCGTCAAGCCAATCTTCCAGCAGCAGCATTATAATGCAGTAGTCGGGGCACAGCATAGGTCAAACGAACACATTTTCTAGTAAAAGTAAAACATAAATGCTTAACACTTTAGTTTAACATTAACTATAGTACCTCTAAAAGAATGTACATTCACATTCATTCATTCACATGGGGTGAAGAACAATACAAACTGTGTCTCTTCCCCTTATCTGTTTGTGTGATTCACAACTAAGATCGAGTTGATCAGTGATCGTCTGTGCAGGTATAATAACTTCAACTTCCTGGCCAGTCACACAACTCCCGAGCACATAGACTCTTTCAGAATTTTGAAATAAAAGATGTGTTCCTCGTGTCTTATCCAAAGTCAGGTCAGTGAGAAATCTGACCTGACTTAAATTAAATCTGAATAGCCGTCGTTTCTGGCCAGTACTCTCTTCAGAGTTTTGAAATAAGAAACAGCAATGTCTTGCATCTTTTACAAAGTCAAGTCAGTGAGAAATCTCTGCAGCATCCCATTATTTTGCAGTTTTATTCTGTCCAGACTGATCTGCTGGTTACATATAATATCCCAAAAATCTTCCCTCAAAAGGCACCATATGAGCTCAGCAGATCATCACTTCTATCTATGAGTTGGACGGGCATCTGAATCAATATTCTATAAACTCGCATGAAGATGCCATGGCTGGAGTTCACAGGGGTGCATACACTCATCCACAGCTCTTCAGATCACATCTGTCTCAGGCTCTAATGTTTCCAGGACTGATGGACAAGAAGGGAAAGGTCAGAGCTGTATAGACGCTCAAGCCAGCCTGAAGAAAGAGCTGGTTTTGAGATATAGTATGACAAAGTTCTTTAAGTGGTTAAAAAATTATTTGCTCATAATTTTTGTGTTTAATTGTATGAAATAAAAGATAACTTTGTTGCCGAAAAGCAGAGTTCTATTGAAGTTTTATTGTTAAGGAAAGGCATTCAAGGATTAGAAGCTTTGTATTTGTAACAAGTTCATATGAAAATTCAGATTTTCTTCTTAGTCAGTTACATAGCACTATCATCATATATCAATCAAATTGTTGATAACTTAGCACACAGCTTTTTGAAACATGAACACTCCTGAATGCAAACAATACACATAGTGGCAGCTTAAAGCTTCAAATGGGTCACTTTATGGTGACAACATCTAGCTTTTATATACAGCCAATGAAAACAAATTGTTTATACATTTATATAAAACAACTCTCAAAACTATCACTTCAGCAAAACACTGCAGACCTTGAGACTCCTCAGAGCTTCGATCAGTTTTTTGAGTGATACCTGACGGGAAACAGTACGTGTCCTCATCTCCACTATCTGCCTAATGATGATGACGAAGAAGAGTCCAGGTCTGATAAATGATAACAGATATCAATGTGATCAGTAAGAACTTAAATTGATTATTTCAAACTGAACTGTGTTTGACATACTTACCCAGTTATTATCCAGTGGATAATAGCACATCCATATGAAAGAATTCAAGTTGCTTTATACTTTTCCCACATTCTGTTTCAGTAAAATATTTTTAGTATCTCACATACTGCATATTTGTTTGTTACTTTATAAATTAAAACAGTGGTACCTCAGTTATTTGACTCCTTACATTACGTAAAACGTAAAACCTTTGCTCCAAATTGAGCTATTAGAAGATAAGTCTGTGGGTTGAAGAGATAGTAATCATTGACAGGTTATTATGACAATGAAAATGTCATAATAACCTGTCATAAAAATGTCAAAGGATGTTCTACCCACTTACGCAGTGTACCTGCACCGTTCCAAAGCAAACAAAGCCAACGCTCAAAAACAGCTTGTAATCTTTTGAAATCATTCTCCTTTTCAACCTTTAAATCACTGCTATTCTTGTACCATCTCAGGTTTAAATACATCTTAATTTTAAAAACTCAAACACAATTTAATCCAAAGAAAATTAAAGTGAAAGATTTCCTGAAGAACTGACTTTGTTCTGTTTTTTCCCCCTTTTTTTTCTTTCTTTACTTTTGATAAGATTTAAATGACTTGCTTCAAATTAGCTTCTAACATGCTAAGTGGACCACTTGCAAAGAGGACAGTGTAGTTCCACATCTATTGCTATAATAAAAACTGCAAAAAGTTATTTGTTTGTCTAGCATAAACTTTTTTCTTCCTCCACCTGTTATCGTGCTGTTTGTACTTGAGTGATAGTGGGGTAAATATAATCAACAGACACTTGATTTTAATTGAAAATGCCAAATGAGATTTTAGCTCATGGGGGAACTATAAGATCGATGGCTCAGTGAAAAAGAATCACAACTCGCCATAATTTCTGTTGTGAGCTCTGGTAGATTTTCTTTGTGTACAGGCTGTGATCAGCTGACCTGTGCTGCTGCTGCTTTGATGTTTGCTGCTTTTTGTGGATTTGCACAAGTTTATTGGTTGAGAACCCAATGTTCCCACCTCTGTAAAGGATGGGATTTTTATGTTAATGTCAATTTGACAAGCTGAACGCATTCTGTACTGTACAGGAGACACGGCACGAGATTGATTGACAATGCGCTGTAAAAATGCGCTGTAAAAAAAAAAAGCATGCAAAATTGCACACAAAAAAAAATCTGCGAAACAGCGAGGCCACGAAAGGTGAACCACATTATAGCGAAGGACCACTGTACTTCATAATTACCATCACACATTTGTTTTATCCTTTACTGCACACTGTTCATACAGGACTGACCGGAGGGCAAGAGATGGTTGCCATGGTAATGGGAGTGTGTTAAGAAATAGAGAGATATTTTTTAATGCGTATCTGCTCGTTAGATTGTTTTATGAGAGGCCCAGACTTGACTAGGTCACAGGCCGACCAGAAACTGCATGTTTTTGCAGAATATGGGGAACAGACAGAGTGAGACTAAGTTTAGACAGGTTGCCCTGGCAACAGACCTCAGAAAGGGGAAAGTATTGCAAGCTGCACAGGACGTTTTAGTGCACAGGCATATTAATAAATCAGACAGAAAAGAGGAACTTGTACCATATAAGGAATTTTTGTATTGAAACTGTGACATGCAAAGTACCGAAATAACACCATATAAGACACGTTGAGCTTCAAATATTAGAGATCCTGCAACTGGCGTTTTGGGCTGTGCAGGGGTCTCTCTCTTCCAGAAGATGATTGAATAAAAAGAAATATAAATGTTTTAACACACTATGAGTCTGTTTTCTCTGTTCTATCACGGCGACAAAAGAATCGGGGTTAATATTTGGTGTTTCCGCCCGGTTCTCCTTGCAACAGAGAGAACAAATGTGGCCGAAAGTTGGATCTGATATGAGGCAAACAGAAGACCGGTCTAAAAAGGTAGGCACAAACCTGTTCAGAGAAAAAGCAAATCTGTGCATATTGGATGAATTCTAAATTATCTGTTCGCTGAGTTGCTGATCTTAACTATTAAATTAACTCAGTAGTGGTAAAACTAAAGTCTTGAGAATAAAGTAAAACTTTGAAGCAATGATAATGAAACTTGGAGAATGACAGTACTGAGTTAAAAGGGATATGGTATTTCATGGTAAAAGAGAAAAAGAAGTTATGTGTGTTTAGGATATTAGGTAATTGGTCATTTTTATGGGTTTAAGTCCCTATTGATCATAAGGTTGGACCTGCATCGGTCAAATAGTTCTGGTGGACTTTTGGTTTTTGTTTCAAATTATTATAAAGTATCCTAGGACGTAAGTTTGACTTCTAAGAAGTGCATAAGCTTCGAGGTGGAGACCTCCCACTTTTTACAGACGTGTAAAAAGACCCTCCGGCGTGGGTAATTACTCCAGGTGGCACCTGCCAAGATTTGGGGCCTTGGGCTAAAATAGCCAGTGATTGGATCACTTTGACGTTTGGAACGGTATCTGCACTTTTTTGGGCAGCAAAGGTTGGATCTCTGGCGTTGGATGCTTTTAAAATTAAAATAGGGTGTTTAGAAATTGGGCCAGGCACAGTTTGTAACTGATACTGGTTAATTGATCACAAAAAGGTTGGACCTTAGCATTGGACGCTTGTTAAATTTGTCAAAATTGTGTAGGATTTTGTGTTGAGTATGTCAAGGATCCCTGTGTTTGTTGTAATGACTAATATAATATATATAATATTATAATAATATATTTGTAATATAAAATAAGTATTTTTGGTATTTAAAAGAACTTTGCAATTTAACAGTGATTTAAAGGCTGAAAGGATGCTGAGTGTGTGTGGCTGTGTGTGTGTTTCAGCAAGGAAGAAGCAGGAAACTGTGAGCTTGTGACGTTGCAACATGAAAGCAGAGAAATTAGAGACTGAATGTCTTAAAAAAGTAATAAAATGATATTAATTACATATTTAGTGTGTCAATACAGGTGGACTCTTTTCAACCTAAAAACATGAGTACAGCGGCAAAAGGATAGATTAACAGAATTGGGACGCGGAACAGGCCAGCCTTTGGCTTGAAATTTTACAGCTTGACCTCTCATTCTGTCCCCATCCCACTATAACTCTAGGCAAAGGGGATTCACAATTTTAATACATAAAACTGTTAATTTCACAGTAATTAAAACACTTATAGATATGTAACATAGTTAAATAGAGTTGACGTTAAATCCCGCTAAATGGGACATTGGCACCACCTACTGTCGAAAAAGTGACCCTGCAATATTCACAAAGGGCAAGGGATT